AACACACACAGGTCGTCACGGCTGTGCACGATCGTATATTCGACTTGTCGCGCAAATGTCGGCGCCGCTAGGAAACGTGTATTGAAGGCTACATCATCTAGCTCATGTGTGATCTCCTTGAAGCAAATATCGGCTCTTAGCATGAAGTTGCCAAATCTGCTGACGCGATGTATTACACGCGTGGCATTCAAGCGTTCGGCGATGAAAGCCGACATGAAACCATCGCTGCCGATAACCTTCTGGTCGTCGTCGTCGTCCTCGAAAATGGCTCGCACCTCATCCTGGTACAGACATACGCTCAACGGCTTGCCGCCCATATCCGGTAATTTTGGTGGGAAGAGGTCGTCTTTGCGCGGAAGCACGCCGCTGCTTAGTTCCAATTTTATAAGAAATTCATCGGTAAATGGGTTGTATCTGTAAACATGCAGCTCATTGTTGCGTTGAAACATTATCACGACATTAAGAAACCAAATGTGCCAAAAAATCGCGAAGGTATGACGCAACCAAGCTTCGGTGACGGTCTCCGAATTGACGATTAGCATCATAACGTGCGAGAGGTGTTTCGCAGCGGAATATTTTTGTATAATTGATAGATCGATGCGCTGTGAAGCGTCGTGAAAGATCATTACCAGATATAACAGTATACCGTCGTTGTTGATGAGTTCCAATGGCTTAGTCTTTACGCGATTCCTATGCAGAAGAAGCCACAAGATTATCAATGGATTAAATTGAATTCAGCTAGGCCGAATATGTTATCTTAAGGGATTTGTAATGCTCTACCTACCTCAATGTTATGTACGAAGTACCACAATCACTTAAATCCCGCAGTATGTCGCCCGAATAACCGGAAGAGGTCTTATTCTCGAAATACACATAGACGACTTTCGTATGGAAACTGCACAAAATGTCGCTGGCGTTCTCAATTAGTGGCACATCTATTGCAGAATTAACCGCAAGTAGACCTTCGGCCATCGACGGAGTTTTGGAAATCCAAACCGCGAAAATGCCGATGAGAGAATACAGCAACGATAGTGGCATTGCGCCCAGACGAGTAGAAATATGCGGAGCAAATGTGGACACTTAGTTGGTGGTCGATTGTTTTTATAGATATAGACATATCCCAGCTGGTGGCCAAAATGAAAATGCATTAATGGAATATTTTTCACAAATACACTTACACAAGAGCCAGATATCGCGCGTGTGTGTGTGTGAGTGTATTATATGCATTTGGCTTATTGGAGCTGATGAAAGCTAATGCCATGATTAATTTCATTAATGTAATCCATTTATTTTGCATTTGACAGTTGATGGTTTGGTTATTTATTTTTAGAGCCATTTGCTGCAACAATTGCAGGCGAGTTCGCGCCGTATCGTAGAACAAACTGTAGGTCATTTGGAAAATGTGGCAGGATGGCAAATATTGTTTATGCAGGTTGAACTCTGTTTATTTAATGTTGCGATAAGCAACCGAACATTACTTAACATGCATTTAAAATTATATAATTGTAATGTATGGGCAAAGGTAATTGTGAGTTGTGGCAACAAACATGCAAACAACAAACAAATTTCATTTATTGCATACATACATACATACATACGTGAGTATGTACAGAAACTTGCTTGAAAACGTTAATGCGAACTAAATATTTTACAAGAAATTAATATTATTTTTTAAGTGCATGATCAATTTTTATTTACTACGAGAATCGTTCCTAACAAACAATTTGTTGCGTCTCTTGCCCACTAACCAACGTTCGTTTTTCAGCCAATCAGTGTTGTTCTTTTCGTTCCCTGTTCCATACTTAACTCTCCATGGGACATGTTGAAAATTTACAAATTGCTGTTAATTATTACAGATCAATTGCGACGCTGACAGACGTAAAGCAGCTGATATGCGCACATTGAAAGACACTTATGAAATCCGATTGACTCAATTAACTAAATCTGCCAAAACTGAAATTTCACGTCTGGTAAGTTGAAACGAATGGGGAACTAGTTGAAGTGCCAAATGCAATAATCGCTTTAGCGCTTCAAAAATATTTAGGTGCGGTAAAAGGCTTAACGTGAAAATTTAGGGATATTAGTTAAAAAATCTGCGGTATTGATACAGCAATGGGCCGAAGGAAGTCACGTGGTGTCTAAATACCAAAAAAATCAGACCGCCGATAGTATTCGATATTATTTTCAAAACTATCGATATATCGTCGAATGTGTAGTATAAGTTTCGGATTGGAAGTTTGGATACCCTTGTAACCTACTGGACATGGTTTTTATTTTTTTAACCGCTGAGTTAGAAGTAAAGTTATGGAAAATTTGAAATGAATTAAAATTTAAAATAAATTGGTCTTTCTGGAATTTAATATTTGTGGTCTTAGATATCCTCCGTCAAATATGAGGCATTCAGAATGTAGATTGAAATTTTAAAACAACCATTTTTTTTTTATCCAAAAAGTAATGGTTTTTACTTACCTTTTATTAAATAGTCAATAGTGGTGAGTAGAAAACATTAAACGTGTTGGTATACGTTAATTTGTATTTTAAAAGGTGAAAGGCTTTCCGTACTTTTGCAACATTTCGTTACTATTTAGAAAAAGTAGCAACCAAATTTTTAGTGCAACTTGGATGTTTCATAGAAATGAAATGCAAAGAAGAAATAAAATTATATTAAATATTGAATCACCTGTCAAAAACAATCGATAGTAGCGAAAAATAAAAAAAAAAACATCGATACTATCGATAGTGCCATCGATAGTTTTGCACCTCT